CACATACAGTGTTCACTTGAAACAGATGAAAAATTTTCAGTGAAAGCTTTAAAGATGACCTTGTGAACTCAGTTTTAAGTTGCACCAGTTAAATTAGGTCAAATTTAAGAACTCAAAGTTCAGACCCCATTAATTTTATGACATCAACCCATCCTCCCACAGAGGAGGAATATTTACCAAAATCAGACTGAAAAATTAAGTTATGAATTAGTCATGAATCAGATTTATTCCAGTACAACCAAGTTGCATACAAGGAGCATCAATTATTTCTATATCCACCAGGACAAAGCTCTGAACAGAGAAATTGTAAAAACAGATCCTCAACTACAGAAGTCACAAATTTCGAGAGTATTAAAAAATGACTATAAATTTGAGATATACTTTATGTCCAAAGAAATACTTTCTGTAAAAATTATGCAGTTTTTATAGGCAAATACAAGTTGTTTTCATTTTAAAAATTGAGACTGGGGCTGGAGAGATGGCTCAGTGGTCTAAAGCACCTACTTGGAACAAGCTTGGCTAAAGCACAGGGACTGCGGTAACATCCCCCAGCACCACATGCCAGCCAGCCCCACCCCCTGGTGGGCTGAGCTGGCCACACACACACACACACACACACACACACAAAGTAAATGTTTAAAAAAAACATTCTAAAAATTGAGACTATTCATATTGCTAACCATTGTTGGCCTATTCTTTAAGAAATACACTGGGAAAAAGTGAATTATAGAGGAAAAGCTATCCTTCACACAGTGTTCTACAATAATGAGGCCTGTGGTCAGAGTTCAATTCCTTGTAGCTTAAATCTATTTTACACATGTCACTGGCATTGTTATTGCTTCTCTTTTAACACAAGACCACTGATAATTTGGTGGGCATATTTAATGACTTCTGTGACAGGCTGGCCACTGGCCACTCTTCCAGTTCTACTCAAGTAAATCAAGTCTTTCCATCCTATCATCTTCACTAAATCTGGAAGTTTCCCACAGTTTGCTTGTTGCTAAAACTGTGCCTTGCTTCTTTCAGACTGTGACTCTTGAAGGGGACTTTTCCCATTACTAGTAGCCACAATTTTCTTGCTTTCTCTCCTCCCTGAAGTTGCTGCTTGGACAGCTTTAAGCTCAGCTTCCTAAATACTTTGATTTCACAAAAGTATATCATTTTGATGCCTGGAGTTAACAGTCAACTACTATATTTACAAGGCTATCTTATTATATATGCCAATCCACCCCTATTCCACCAGCAGCATTTTTTAAAGTAATTTTAAAAAAATCTTTTTTTATTTATTTATTTGGTACAGGGACTCACAACACAGCTCAGACTCATAGTGATCCTCCTGTCTCAGGTTCCCCAATGCTGGGATAACAGGTATGCACCACCATGCCTGGTTTCAGTGGCCAGCATGGCCCAGCCAGGATTCAGGGGCTGGTACAGCATGTGGTACCAGGGATTGAACCCAGTTTCTTGCGCTTGCCAGGCAGGTGTTTAAAATGCCAAGCTATCTCTCCAGCCCCAGCAGCACACTTTTGATGTCACCTTCTAGATCTCCTACATGGAAAAACTCCACAAACCTTACCTAGCCTCTGTTTGATTAGCCAGTCCCTTTCTGTCTGTATAGAGACACCTGTGATACTTTCTGCTAATGGTATGATACAGTTATCTCAGTTTATGTTCTTCAAGTTTTTGGCCACAAAGGTACCAAGAGAAATAAGAGTCACAATCCTGCCCCAATTACACTGTATGTATCATGCCTGAAACTATCGGGCATCATAAGGACTTGACATCATCTTCGTTTCTGACATCCAGTTTCCACAGTATTTCTTGGAAGGTCATCTCATGGTTGCACTATATGTGGTCCCTGTCCCTTCCTGCTGGCAGGCTTGGCCTTCCCCCGGCCCAGTGGCTTTGAGTCCTTGGCTCTGGTGGTCTGTTACCACAGGTACCTGGAAATGATCTCTGAAGATACAGCTCATCTCCTTCATTGCCAGCAGCAGCATGGTGGGTAGCAAGCAGGTGGGTGTTGGGACTCTTTCAACCAGCTGGCTAGTGTTAAGTAACTTTCCAAGTTATATACTGTAAGCAGTGGGGTCAGGATTTGAATCCACATTGATAATATACTCAGAATCTTCTACACAGAAGACTTGTCCTCTCTCTGCAAGATTCCTGTTCCATGTAATCTTTACTCAAGTCAAGCCTTTGGCCTCAAAGTGCCCTACTCTACTCCTCACTGAGAGGTGAGGTTGTGGTCCAGGGAGAACACACACCCACCCAACCACAGAAGTATAGCTTTAGGTCTCCAACCTTCAGCTAGAACCTGCTTGCAAACTCACCCCTCCCTCCTTGTATCTGCTTCAGCACCAGAGTGATGGATACCTGATACAGCTGGGTCCTGCCCTTTATGGTCAGGCATTTGCTAAATAGGCTGGGCTGGCGGAAGCTTACTCCTTGCTTATGGTGACAAAGGGCAAGGAAATAAAGAATAGGGCAGTGACACTTATCACCGCTGGTGGCCAGACTTGTGGGAGTGTCTCCTTCACAGGAGCAACATTCTCTCTTCTCCCTGCCTAACATGAGTCCTTACCTTAGGGCTCTCACAGCCTCCTGGGTAGAGTAAGCAAGGACAAGTTCCAGGCCCTAGGGGACAGCAGCCAGCATAACATGGTTACCTGGAAGCCACACAGGCCTCTATGGTCTACTCTGCTTTCCATGGAGCCCAGTCACTGTGCCCACAGGTACTAAGATCCCAGTAAATCTAGAAATTATTTGAACTTAGACAGTAGGAACAACCTAGTAGTAAGTTACATCAATTTAGTGAATCAGAGTCAGTATATATATTTTTTAAAAATACAAAACAGTGTGTATTGTACTTGGTTAAAAAAAATGCAAAAAATTTGGGTTTTAGCAATAAATACAAACCAACTTTGGGTTCACAATATAAAATGTGTATTTTTCATTGTATGTCACAGTAAGAAAATATTGGAAATTCATGGCAAAAGGCCTTACTGTAGAGATCCACCAACAGCCTGAACCATTTGGCTGTGGCCTTGAGTCCTCAGGACAAGGCCCTGAGTACTTCTGCCTGGCTGAACTGAGTTGCAGGTTTCTCATCATAGACAGAGAAGGCTTTGCCAAGTAAGGCCACAGTGCTGGTCTCTGGAAAGCTTAAGAAATGGATAACAAACTACTGGACTAGCCCAGCCCGGTGCTACCTGTCTGAAGACAGGGAAGGCCAACTAGACCAGCTACTGGCCCTCCCACTCTTCCCACAGCCAGCTGAGCAGGTAAGGAGGTGACTAATTACTCAAAGCATCCAGGATATGTGTGCTGCGTGACCTGGGTAGGTACTGAGGAGCCTCAGACTCTTGACTGCCTGGATTGCCTCCTTACACCCACTGGGCCCAGCCTCTTCTACGTAGAACAAAAAGCCCAGGTGTCAGGCCTGCCAGAAGCCCAAGCAGATTCTTGACTGGCCAGTGTACCAACGTTAGTCTTTCCACAAAGGATGGGCATTGGCTGGGCCTGTGTTCACGCCTTATTGGGAGAAAACCACTGTATCAGCCTATGATAGCTCCTGTTGCCAAACTGGTGTTCCTATCACTGCCCACTCAGGGCTGTTTATTCTGCTTCACCGTAACAAGCATGGGTCTCATGAACATTTGCAGTTGCAGCAGAGGATGGGGCAACGTTCTTGCCAAGGAAGTCTTCTGTTTGAGAGGCATGACTGATAAGTAGTCTCCATGGCTACCTCTAACCAATGGGGCAGTAGCTGTTGGCTTGCTGCACTGTTCCCTAGGCCAACCTTGTCCTAAGAGGTAACACTTTCAGAAGGGACCGGCTATGAAACCTGAATCCAGCAGGATTCCTCTGGGCTTGAGGAACATAAAGGTTGCACGGAGCTAGCGAGAGACAGTCTGAAGGAGCTTGAGGCCCTGTTTTGCAGAAATACAATGTTGAGATAATAAATTCTGGCTCATTGGTGTGCCTGGAACTTCAGGTCCCTGAGCTTAGAGATATCACATTCCAGGAACAATACTTAGTATTCAGCTTTTGAAGGTATCTCCTGATTATTCTTAATGGCTACAGAAGAAACTACTTTTCTAGATGTCATGCTTGTGTGTGGGAGGATATGATTTATAACTGGAGGGGAGAACAGAGAAACCTGGATTCAGCTTTACTAATCTAGAAGAAAACTAACTGGCTCCGAGCCAGGCCTGAGCCCTGCGAGGGCCTCTGCCCTAACTGCAGCAGCCTTGCTGCACAGGGCATTCCGTTTGAAAGCCCTGTAAGCTGTTCAAATATTAATTAAGCTGTTGGTGCGCTGTGGTGGGCAGGCTAGCAGGCAAAGCAGCATCAGTGAGCCAGTGCTACCTGTGTCATAGCTAGGGTGACAAATCCCTCATGGACCGCAGGTGATGCTACTCATGGCACTGGCATTTTGACTAGGGCCTGAGGCTACCCCTTTGGTACAGTTCTGAGCACAGGTGGGTCAAAACATTTGCCTGGTGAGAATGAGGTTTGCCAGTATTTCCAGGATCCTTTTAGGGGGATTATTAGGACCCTGGAGTCAGATCCTACCCACATAGAGGTCAGAGTCTAGATCCTGGTATTATAGTGAGGTCAGACTTCCAAGGCTGAGGGGGTCATGAGTGAGAAATTAAGGAGGACCCGTGGAGCCAGAAGCACTTGCCAGCCCACATGATTTGATTGTCATGCTATAGCTCAACTGAGAGCAGCTAAAACCACACCAACACCCCACACAAGACTGTTTCCTCTATAAAGGGCAGATTTCTCGAAACCAAATAACTCTTATTTTCTGCCTGCGTCTCTTAAAGAAGGAGTAACAGTGCTCTGCAGAGCAGAAGAGCAGTGCTCCAGCAGGTGTGATTTAAATAACTCAGATCCAGAAGCATGGGACCCTGAAGAGCTCAGCAGCACAGAGCAGCTGGTATCTGCTCAGAGAGAACCCTCTTCTAGTCCCACTGCCCCTCACCGTTACACACCCTCACGCTTGGGAAGCCAAGGATGTTGAAGTCCCTGCAGACTGCGTTGTTGGTTTCATCAGCACAATCCAGGACGGCAAGCTTCAGCACCGGACTCCAGCCTAAAAGGACGAAAAACCCTGGGTGAGCAAGCTGGCCCTCCCTTGGGTGCTTCCCTCTCCCATGAAGGCTCTCTCCTACCAACCCCACAGCACCTCATGAGAAAAAGCCCACATTCTTCACAAAGGGCCTCTGAAATAGCCCCTTTTGTCTACATTTAGCCAAAGCCTCACAAGAAGAGGCTTCTGCTTAATTACAGTTAAAAAGCACAAATAACGCTGCCTGGTAATAGTGTCTGTGTTCTAGTACTCTGCTGGGTGGTGACAATGGCTGGAGGGACTGGGGAGAAATGAAGCCTGGCCTGCTGGGAAAGCACGGGTAATCCCTTTGTCCCTTCAGCCATTTAGGAGGTTGATGGATTGCAGAAGGGTGCAGGGTGCACCTCAGGGGGCTTGGGATTCTCTGGCAGATCCTGGGTGAGGGTTCTTAAGGCCAGAGGTACTGGCACACAGCCATTCTTACGTGGCCAGGCATCAGGTGTTGGAGGACTCCTAGGAGGAAGGAGGAGGCACCTGGGAGCCAGGAACCACAGGGAAGGAAGCCTGAGGCCAGAATCCAGAAGGTTAATCTTGCTTTCTTTAGGTTCCAGGCACTAAGGCCTCTATTCCCTGAAACTGAATGGCAGAAAGAACAATGGCATAGGACTGGGTCTAGGAAAGAGAAAACCCATTTGCAAATCAGGTATGTCTCCTGAGCTCTGATTTTAGGTTAGGTACCCTGGAGCATTCATCGAAATTTTGTTCTATACCAAGGCTGCTCAAGCTGCAAGATATACACACAAGGCCACACAAACCGTGAGAAGGCTATGAATGTTGCCAAATTATGTGGCATAGACTTCCAAGAGCTTGGTCCTGTAGGCTAGGACTTGGGCTTTGCAAGAAATTTAGAAGAGCCTTGACACTCAGTCCACTTGACGTAGAACTGCAAGAGTAAAGACTGTAGATTGGCAGGCAGGGAAGAGCTTTTAAAAGAACTTAAAGATAGCCGGACTAAAATGCCTGCTTAGGCAAGCTTAGGCAAGTGCAGGGACCACAGTTTGATCCCCAGCACAACAAGCAGCACCAGCCTCGCTCCCAGGGTGGGCTGAGCAGGCCACAGAGTCTGGGCCTAGTGGCGCCTACCTATAATCCCGGTGCACATGTGTAGTGAGACCCTGTAACAACCAAATACATTAAAAATAAACAAGCAAAAAGACCTTTAAAAAGAAGGACTTTAAATGGAGAGGGCGCTGGGCAGAGGCTGCTCCATTGCACAATGGCACCACTGCTATCTCTGGAGCACATGAGCAAAGAAAGAAGCCTATTTGGTCGCAAGGCCCCAGCACAGAGACCCAAGGCTCTCGCTCCCATCTGGGACATGGGCCTGAGGAGGCATCCAGTGGGATTACACCCAGCACTTATCAGGTAGAGCACACTAACATCGAAATAACACCTTCAACAATCACAAGCTGCCGGAACCTCCTCTCCCACGCAGAATCTGCTCCTTCCTTATCATTGAAATGACACTTTCTGTTTTTTGTTTTGTTTTGTTTTTTTTTTTTTTGGCAGAACCAGGGATTGAATTCAGGCCCCCTTCAGTTTGCCAGGGAAGCACTTATTCCACTGAGCCATTTCCCCGGCCCCAAAATGACACTTTCTGAAAGCCTCAAAGCTCACAATAACATTTTATGCTCAGAGAAGATGTGCTACCTTCAATTTCACAAGACAAATACAAAAAAAAACTCCAGAGAAATCTTGAGCCACTCCTCAAAGGAAAACAACTAAGCTGATTGCGGGGTTGACACTAGGTAGGAGTGGGTCTCCAGGCTGTGAGGAAGGCCTAACGTCACACCTTCTTCCTTCTCTTCACTCCCCTTTCTTACTGGCACTCTGCTGTTGGCACTGAAGTTTCTGGACTCTTGGCAGGAGGAAGACCTAAGGCCACACCTTCTTCCTCCTCCTCGCTCCCCTTTCTTACTGGCACTGTGCTGTTGGCACTGAAGTTTCTGGACTCCTGGCAGGAGGAAGTGAGCATGGATAGGAGGGGGACTAGAGGAAGGGAAGACATAGATAGCAATGTTTAGCAGAAGCAGAGATTAAGAGGCTTTGGCAAAGACAGGTGAGCCACAGCCCATGATCCCCTTTCCTCAACCTCCTTGATGTGCCATTTCTGCAGACCCCATTGGGGCATTCTTTTGACTTCCATGGCACAAAGAGACAGTAGCTTAAGCTTAGTCATATAGCTGCAAGTTAGTTTTCAGCCTTTGGCTTAAACCTTCTCACTTGAGAGCACCTGCACAACCACAGGCGTGGACCACCTCCCTCCTGCCTTGACACTCTTCTCTACCCTCACCCTGTCCACCCTGGGCTTCCCTTGGTAGGGGCAGGGTCAGGGCAGTTCCTACACATGGAGCTGCTCCTCCTAACCCATCTTCAAATCCTGTCCACTCCTCACTGAAGTCTCTTCCCCAACCCCAGCCCTCATCTCACTACACAATCCTAGGTGGTTTGGATACCTGATTAGCTTCTTTACTCAATCCCTTCTAACCTATTCTCTTTTTTTTTTTAGTGAACTGGTACAAGGGTCTTTTATGGCAGGTCTTCTCGGGATAACCAAACACATCCCATTTCTCTTGTGAGTTTCTGATGTGCCTCACCCTTCATTGGTCTCTCCCCAGTCATCAAATGATCTTTTCTACCTGTAGATCTGATAACTTACCTTCTACACAATATTCTTTGGTGGTTTGCAACTCCCTTCTAAAGAAAAACTAAAGCCACAGGTGAGTCTTTATTTGTTCTTTGCCCACACATCCAGCCTCCTCTTACCACTTCCTCACAAGGAACGCCAAAAGGCTTTCCTTCTCTGAAAGGAGAAATTGCTCTCCCATGTCCAGGCCACTCCCCATAAGAAACATCCATCCCCCTGTGGCTCACCCTGATTTGGTCTCCCTACAAACTCCTTTTGTCAGGTCCAACTCAGACTATTTTCTGTTAGAATAGCAGTCTCACAGTCCATAGCTCAGGGTACCCACCCGGGTTTC